ATTACAAATTACCATCTGCAGTGCAGTAGCTTAGTTCACAGGTATCAGTATATATAGTTAGTCAGGGTGAGAATCTTTCCAATTAACTGCTAAAGAATCTTCTGAATATTCTCAGGATCATTGCCTTGCTCATCTTTCTAACAGTTTCTTAAGGCAAGGATTTTTGGTGGCTAGCATTTGTCACAAGAAGCTTTCTAAAATAATTCTGAAGAAAAATACAACTAGTATCACTGCATGATCTAAACCCACCTGGTTCGTCATTTGAAGTGGTAATAATGCTATTATAAGATCTTCGCACTCGTAAGGTTATACAACCATTTTCATGTAGACAAAACAAGCCATCACGCTGAAAGCAGGGTATTACCTTTAAATAGATGATATATTTATTTTAAAAACACAATAGATTATTGATGGATGTTCTGTAAAACTCAAACTCATATTTAGAAACTATAGGCAAAACCCCTCACAATAAGTGAAAATATACACATAGTCCTCAAGCCTTAAAACAAAATGAACATTTAAAATTTCATTAATAAACTTAAGAATAAAACAACTATATCCATGTGACTTACATACTTTAGGAAACATCTCAGGAGCAATTAGAAGAATTTGTAGGGCAAACCAAACTAATTAAAAGTTCAGAAAAATCAGAAATACAAAATATTACTCTTTCAATAAACAAAAAAATACTAATCACTTTTGCTAGTTTTTCTGTAAGATTGTATAACTTTTAGAGATATAATTTATAAACTATAGATACCTGTAGAAACGGAACTCCTGTTCGTTCTATTGCAATTACACCAACTGTTTGATTCACTTCCAGGTCAAGGATTAAAATCTCTCGAGGATAGAGCAACAACATGTGATTTCTTTTTGAAGGCAGATATGCCAACTGGAGGCAATCGTTGAGAGTTATGAATTCAGCACTGAAAAAGCATCAAGGTAAACTGGTATCAGTATCAGTATTAAGATTTACATGAAAAGGCTGATAAAGGATTTTTTTTTTTTTTTTTTTTTTTTTTTTTTTAATGCCTTCAGGGCACTTTTGGCCAGCGGGAGAGGTGTGAGTTTCGAACTCCAGCAACCTGTATTTTAGAGAAGGGTCTGCAGGGTGTTCAGGATCTTACTACTAGATCAGACTCATAGTGATCTGCCTGTTTACAGTCTCCTAAGAGCTGGGATTATAGGTGCGTGCCACCATGCCCAGTCTCAAGTTGAACAGGATTTTTTTTTTTTTTTTTTTTGGCTGGCTCAGGGCTGTCTTAAGAGCTGGTCTGGTAAGGCATGTGAAGCTGAGGATCGAACCACGGTATCCTGCGCCTGACTGTGTTTGCATGAGCAGGTGCTTAAACAACTGAGCTAACCGGCAGGCCCCCCAATAAAGGATTTAATTTTGTACTCTCCACATAAAAATTGTCAGTGAGAATGTACAACTATTTTTTTTTCCTTCCCAAAGAGTTTCTTCATGATTGAGAATGTACAACTATTTCCTGAAATGAACAACACAGGTTAGCATCTAAAGCTTAAATTTCTATTAAACACCAGAGTCCAAATTATGACAATACTGAGTAGGCACCATTGTTTCTAAGCTTTTGATAAATTTACTGTAAAACAAGACAAGTGACAGTACTATACTAACATTTGTAAGTTTTATTTGATTTTTATTTTGCAAACAAAAGTACAGACTGTCGAAATTAAGACTCAGGATTAAAGCATAAATATTTAGGGTAGTCAGGATCACTTACCTGAATTATTTATTTTTATTTTTATTTTTTTGGTGGAACTAGGGATTGAAACTCAAGCCCTTGTGCTTGCCATGGAAGCGCTTATTCCACTGAGCCATCTCCCCGGCCCCAGAATTATTGAATTTATTGAATTACTATATCTTTATGATCTATATGAACTTCATTCACTTTTATTTTGGCAACATGGGGGATTGAACTCAGAGCCTCACATGCATGCTAGTGGTTTCCTCAACCTACCTTATTCAATATTAAGTTGTCTTAAATCTCTTTTCAAACAAACTAGGGTATTTCATTCACTTGTATTACATTATTTCCTTTAGTGTAAATAAAAGATATAAGGATTACAAACAAAAAATTATTTTAGCAACTTGTGATCACTACATCCATTTTTTTAATTAATTTTATTAAGAAACAAATAGCAACGAGACAGTTTCAAAACCGATTAGTAGGATAGTTATAATAATTAATACATTGCATATGGTTGTCTTTGTAGTAGTTAATCATCGTACAAGACGCAGACATGATATTCCGTCCAAACACTATTAGTACAGATCTTTCTTCTCATTGAATTAAGAGAAAGTAGCTGTATATCTGTCTTAACTATTTGATATATACAGATACAAAATGGTCCTTCATTTGTATCCCTTTAGTTTGGTTTTGTCAGAGAAGGGTATTTCATTGCCATTTAAATATTGTAGGTGCGTGAATTCAGCAAAATATTTCAATATAGTCCAGTAGTCCATAATAGTAATGGGTTTTCAGTAGGACTGGCAATGTCAGAAGTTGTTGACTTGAGCCTTTTACAACTCAGCATATTAATATGGCTTTACTTTTTATACGTCGTTTTTATACTTTTCTGCTGGATGGTAAGACCAAGATAAAGCAAGATCTATACAACAAGAAATGTAACTTTTGTATCTGCCAAAGTCAGTCAAATCCCCTCAGGATTTAGCCTGAAACCCTGAACTGCAGTGTGTAGATCCTTTGTCATTGTCAGCCATGTAGATGAGTCATGGCCACTGCTTGACCAGTTTGTTCTCTGTGAAAGCCTGAATGTTTTCTCTCCATGTGGCTCTCCTTAGGCAGACTCTGCATCATCAATCACTTTCCTCTATGGCCCCATAATCTCCTTGATCAGAAAATTTGGGACACAAGTGAGATACAGGATGCCACATCCATTTAATCACAACTTTTTATATAAATTTCAACAAAAAATACAGTGAAGCGCTATTTTACTTGTACATAAAAGTTTTATTGAAAAGTTTTGTTATTTACAACAGTTAATAAGAGGTATTTGTATTGCTTTAAGAGTCCAACTGCTGTTTCTTAGTTTGGTGAACTTTAGTCATAAATTTAAAACAACATAGGGCTAAGGTTTCCTCATCTATAAAATGAGAAAGATATTACTATGCAGAAATGGAATAAGAATCCTGGATAATGAAAGTACTTAGACCAGTTCCATTTGAAGGGATAACTAATATGCATATAATTCAGGAAGCACATATAACTTGCATAATAGAAAACTTAACAGTCATTAATATTTTTCCTCCTACCACAATTATTTCTGACAGGGAATGCACAAGATATAGAAAGGTCTAACAAAATACTTAAGAAACCATCATAAATCATCTCAACAACATGGGAAACAAGTTAACTAGTAAATTTAACCAGTCTATGGCTTAATATATAAAAATAATATCCACAAGTTCAGAATGTATTCATAATTTTTTTTTTTTTTACCATGTATCATTAAGTATCCTCAGAAGTCTAGATAGACTTATCTGAGCATATTAAAGATAAAGGCTGGGGGCTGGGGAGATAGTGCAGTTGAATAAGTGCTTGTCTGGCAAGCGCAAGGGCCTGAGTTCAATCCCCGGCTCTGAAAGGAAAAAAGAAAAAAAGAAAGAAGGGTATCTTAAATGCAAAAAAACAAAAAAGCCCTATCAGTAAAAATATGGTAGGGAAAAAAAGAGATCTATTTCTAAAGTATAAACTAATTACTTGAAATTTCAGTCAGTTGCAATTTCTTAACAATATTATGTTACTGCATCTGTTAATTTTTGTAACAGTCCTATGAAATACTTAAAAAGCTCTACATTAAATATGGGAGACTAAAATTTGCACAAGATTAAAGGTCTCTACTGAGAGTCATCCAGCTACAGCTACCCCTAGAACTTGGTTCTTCAGCAGGATCGGAGACATAGTCACCTGTGTAAGAAAGCAGCCCGTATTTTACTGGCTAATATGACTGCACAGAACTTAAATCGAGAAAATGTACTGAAAGGAAAATCCAGCTTTTGTTTTTTAATTTTTCATGTATTCATTAATTACAACTTTATAATCATCTTAAATTTTCACAACTAAAAATCAGAAGTGAAAAATTTTAATTTGTAAAATTCAATGGGAAAATTTAAGTGAATAGTGGAAGGCACTGTTAAATGCATAAATTTCCTCCTAAAGAAGATGACAAGAGTATTTTTCTCTAATAAATTTAAAATTAGAAATGAGAAAGATGAGATTTATCATTTTAGTACAACTTCAAAAATCATCGTTTGATATGAAATAAATTTTGTTAGTCTTACAATTGTTAACTTACCTAGGTTTCTCTTGAGTGATTAAAATTTTCACTTTATTAAGAGCCTTCTTGGCTCCTGTGGCTGCCGCCAGCTTGTTATGAGCGGGGCTGGAATGTGGGCTGGAAATATACACTTTTTTCCCAGGGCCTGAGGGAGGCTTGGATGGAGAGAAGTCTGAGATGAATACAATGCCCTCACTGGTGAGCACTATATTGGGAGAAGCAAAACTCTGATTAAAATTTAATAAAGTTAGCAAAGTTTTATTCCAATACAATTTGAGAGCAAGATAATGATAATTTTAACAATACAGAAATGGCAATGTTACACAGTCAGAACATGGTAAGAATATTTTCCAAGTTGAAGAGAGACAGGTGGTCCATTAGAATTCATCACAGGTTTCTAAGTTCAGAATTCTAAATTATGTCACATATTAAAATGATACTAGAAGGTTACTGGCAGAAAGAACAAGTGTTTCTTCTTCCAGATGAAGTCCATGCATAGACTTTAATTAAAAACTCTTACTCATTCTATCTCATAATTTCAAAATACAAACACTTTTCAGAGTATTAGATTCATGCAGGAAGAGAAAAACATTTCTCATGTAAGAGGATCTGCATATCATAATTAAAGTACAAATATTTGATGGCACTAAATTTTTCATGATTATCATGAATTACTCAGCCAAAACAGATCTCCTTTTCCTTCTCCAGCATCAGGCTGAACCTTAGGATGAAGGGTATTCCATTCCCATTACATTGAAAGACTGCCAATAAAGACTTAGTAAGCATTCATGAAAGAAATATATTTCAACATCATTTTTAAGCAGTATCAATTCTGGGTTTTTTTAAATGGAAAAAAAAAAAAAAAAAAAAAAAACCTCCACCAAAACCAGGCTGACTCGCTAGAGGGATACAAAGCAGGCCAGCCTCATCTGCTGGGTACCAGAAGCTAGCATGGCTGGTGCAGACCCAGGGATCAAGGAAGCATTCAAGATTATGATAGCCTGAGCACGCTCCATGTGAATAAGTAAGAAAAGGTTAGGGCAACAGACGCTTTAAAATATATGGTGTTTTCTATTGATGTAATCAAATTAGCTGAGAAGCATGTCTCCTCTTTAGGTCTCAGAACTCATTCTTCAAGGTCCTACTCTGCCCTCCCTGCCTGCGCCCAGATTTCCTCTGCATTCCCACAGTGGTGCATTCATGGCAGCAAACTAGTGAGTGAGCACATGTATCAATGCACTCATATAAACACAGGCCCAAATACATGGCATTGCAGCTAATATACAGTCCTGTTTTCCATTTTAACTTCTACTTCTTTTTCTTCCTTCAACACATACCACACACACACTTTCAACAAATGTTGATGGAGAAAAGCCAGAATTTCAACTAAAATAAAAACAAAATCCAGCTAATGACCACAAGTGACCACAGCTAATTCCCCTATCTCCTTTGAGTTTCTGATCATCATCAAAAGAAGACCAGCTTTAACCACTCTAACACAACCTGATCTCCTGATCTTCAATTCCTCTCTATCCTCTTTATGGTATTTTACTTTCTTTATATCACCTCTTAATATACCTCTTTTTTTAAATAAACCTCTTAATATACCAGAACATATTAATTAAGTTCATAGTTTATAATCTGATTCCCTCTCACTAAAGGTTAACTTTTTTTTTAATGTATTTAGGACAATTCCATAGGGTCTCATTACAGAGATCTGACTCAGTGATTCTCCTGTTTTCAGCCTCCCAAGTGCTGGGATTACAGGCGTGCACCACCACACCCAGTTTCAATCATGGTCTCAGCTTGCCATGGGAGGTCACTCTGCCCACACGCTTTAGTCTGCTGATAAAAATTAACTCTTTGAAGGCACAAATCTGTGTCTTGGTTTCTAAAACAGTAGCATCAGCTCAAGAAATACCTGCCTGATAACTAAAGAAAGAGTATTTTCTAAATGAATCACAAAAATATGTGTCTAAAAAAAGCCCCTCATTTTCAGATCATTTGATCAATAAAACATCAAATACTGGCAAAAAAAATTTCTACAGGAAAAAAAAATCCCCTAGGCTAATTCTGTTCTTTACACACTTCTGTTTGGGGCATTCAAAGTGAGTGGCCTTAAGTAAAGACATTTTTTTTTTTTTTTTTTTTTTGAAGCAAAAACTGCTGCCCACTTCCGGGAACCCCCAGACCCAGTCCTAGCCCAGGTCCGGTGAGTGTGTGGAGAGCTTCCTGCTACCCTGCGCCGGCGGGACCAGTCC